GGGGGGGAGGGGGGGGGGGGGGAACTGGAGGAGAAAAAAAGTTGCTGGGCCGTTTTTCACCCTAAAGCAGAGAATGCATTAAGGTAAAAAACGCCCAGACCTTAATATTACTTTAAATTTACCAAAACAATGTGAAATGAGGAAAACCCAAACAATCCATTCAATTCTTATCAAATAAGGCAGATCCTTGCACCACATAGTAGATAATAGATTAAAAAAGGAGATTGTACAATCAGATTGTATAGTGTATATTCAGCTTTATTGATGTGATAGCCATTTTAATAGTGTGATTGAGCTGCCAAAAATCACCATTTTACCCTGCTCTTATGCTGTTGTGTCACACTTCTAAGCTACCGAACCAGCTATGGTTTTCCAGTGGCTTGCACCATTTCAATACTGCATTATTTAACCTAATAAATGTGCATTAAAGATTTCCTGTGAGTTTCAGCAGAGCTCTAAATAGCGTAATTCACCGCCAGGTTTTTTAAAAATATATAATTAATATTGTCTTTCCCGGTAAGAGCATTTCAACCTGTGATAACGTAGTCTTGCTGCAGAAAGAGTTGCTGAAATAATGGGTCCATTTTCATTTTCAGGAGCCGCTTGGACGGAACGAAGTGAAACACTTGGTAAGTGCTATTTTCTGCTTGTAACACAGAAACTCTACCTGGAACAGTGAACACCGAATTAGAGAAGAAGCTTTTATTCTGTTTCACAACACATAGCGACCCTCTTTAAAAGAGAACAAGTTGCACTTGGAATTTATTTGGAAGTGACCTTCTCTTTAGTATTTGGTCATTATGAAAAATGCATAACATGTCCTAGAAGAATTAATATTTCATAAACAATCTGCATTAACAGGAGGCTGTGCAACTTCAAATCCAGGAAATATACAATGCAAATTTCCATTTTGTGAAATAACATCAGTATTTATTATATATATACTGTATGTATAAAAGAATCATTCCTGAGTGCAACTTAAAGTATATTTCCATTTTTGCAGCCAAATTGGGATAACACCTATTTTATATTTGTTGCATGTTCCCATTCACATTGCAAAAGCTAAAACATTATTTTAAAACAATTGAATTGCTTCTTACTTGCTAAAAGTTCTAGTTGGCTTATCCTTCTTTGTAATGATAGGAGGGGCTGTGAGGGGTTTACCCTGTCTGTACTGTGCTGGCTGATTTCATTATAATTTGTAAAGTAGTTTTAAACATTGCCTATCCTAACAAAGGATTAAAGAATTACAACTCTGGCTTCTGCATTGTATGTTAATGAGAGAAACACATTCAACACGGTCCTGTCCTTAGTCTTTCTGTAAGGAGAGATCACTGTGAAGGTGCTCAGAATAAAACCCGAAATCAGCCATGTTGCCTTCTGCAACAAAATAGGAAGAAATGGGAAAAGGGAAGACATATTTTAAAATTATTTTTGTTATGCTGTGGAACACATGACAAACATATGGAGGGTTTGCCTCAAATTTGACTGCAAAAGTGGAAATTCACTTTAAGATATTTCACATTCAGGGAAAAGTTATAAAACTTATGATGGCTTTAAACTGAGCATTTCTTTGTCCTTATATTTTTCTAAACATGTAATTTAGTATGAAGTATGGCTTATTTATAATCTACTGAACTGAGTTCCTTTTAAAAAATTGAGTTAGGTAGTAACATTTTATTTGACGGGTATCCTCCAGTGTAAATACATATGTGGTGCAGCTGGTTGTAACGCAGCCATTTTCAAATGTTCTCACATGCTTGGTATAAGAACATCTAATACATTATCGGTAACATTTAGTTTTAATGAAAAGGACAGCTTTATACATTACAGGAAACAAAACATGTAAAATATCCACTGAATGCAAAAGACAGCTTTATACATTGCAGCATTGCAGGAAAAACAGGCAAAGTAACAATTTAAAGTTGAACTTCAAGCAAACAGTTAAATACACAGATAAAATATGTATAAGAGAGCTGTTTTACCTGCCATATGATTGGTTTTTCTGTTCATCCAGTTGTGACATTCACACAGCAAAGCCCTGTGGCAGGGCAGGAAACCTGATATTTGCTCTATAGTTAAATAACACTTACAGGTCACTCCTCCAGCCTTTGACTGGTGACACTCCAGACTAAAAATCTTAGTTCTCTGTCGCTCTTTCCTTCGATCACTATGCCCCTGACTAGCACTAAAACACAGCCGATTGGCTCCTTGCACTGCTTCTCCTTCTCCCAGTCTGACCTTTGCTGTAAAGGGATTACTAGAGGCTTATGCCAGGTCAAATGCATATACTAACAGCATGCATTTACAAATATACATTTAATGATTCATTAATTAATACAGAACGGCAGTAATTTGTGTCTTCTTTATCTGCCTGGAGTTCATCTTTAAACCCACCTGTGTGCCCGAGTGCTTTATAACTGTCTTTTTATGAATGACAATAGACATTAAATGGAACTTGTAGCATGGATATCTTCTCTCATTATCAAATATGCTGAGCCGTCAGAAACTCCTTAAAGGCTTATCTATTCATATCATTGGCTGTTTCGGTCTTTATGCCTCATTTTGCTGCAGGAACTGTAATTTAGGTTTTTGGGACTTTGGCTGAACCATACGAAGAAATGCATAGAAACAAGAATATATAATGATATAATGCTGTACCAGTAAGCAGCCACAATGGAACAGGGCCTCATATACCAAAACATCTGGAGCTGAGATCTTGGACTCCCTGCTGGGAACCTTAAGATCGTTACCAGCCAGCGGGTGGTCCAGAGTCCTTCCAAAATTGTGGAACTTGGTTTGCTTGCTTGTCATCCATAGACAAATCTCCAACTAAAATCAGGGGGCAGTTAATGATCTACATGTCCTCCTCAGGACGACACATTGTCAGGACCACCTACAATTTCTCTCCTTGACTTGTCCCATGTTTGGATACAACATACTTTTGGTGAAAGGATCTATTAAAACCTCGGGTGCTAACACATTCTTATTATTGTTTCTGCCTGTATTATCACTGCCTGACTATAGTCTGCAGTGTAATCCTGGCCTTACCCTTTATGGTCCTGCCATTTCTCCATGGCAGGTCCTGTTTTGACTAATTTCATTTTTAACTCCAGAGACTAAACTTTGTAAGGTTCCTCAAATGTGTATCACCATTCAGTCTACATAGCTTGTAAAACAATCTTGAGCTGATGGTTACATTTTGCAAGGTTTGTTTTCTTGTTGGAAGATTATCTTGGTTGTTAACTTCTCGCTGAAGCTCAGCTGAGGTTCGTCACAGGTTATAGACCTAAAACACAGGATATAAAACAAAACAGAGATAAAGCATAGACACATGAAAAAATGCTCAAACTCTCTGTTTCTGTATCTTTGTTACATGTTGTGTTTTTTTGTAAAAGGTCTATGGATTTGTAGAAATCAATTGACTTTTTCATGTTTTGTTGCAGATAAAAGCATACGAAAATACAAATTTCCAAGGGGAGAGTATGGACTTCACACAACAAGTGTCAGACTTCATTTCCTTCATGCCCAAGTCTTTCAAGGTCTTAAGGGGATGGTAAAATTGTTTTTTACTTGTACAGTATGCATTAAATACATATTTTAGTGGAAAGGACAAATACGCATTTCGGCAAAGGGTTCAGGATTTGATTTCTAACATTTACCCACCTACACTGCACCAAACATGGTTGGAAAAGAATCCTCCCTTCATAAAGGTAAATCAGATTATTTCCTGTCTGAAATGGCCTTAATAAGTAAGCATAAATGCTAGTGGATTTGAGATTGCACCACCGAGTTTTTCTTCACACTCACCGTGGATCTAAGCAGTCTAAATTTTCCATAATGTTAAATAATTGAAGAAAATAAGAAACATAATGGCTGTGGTAGATGGAGCTATAATCTTGATTGTTTTACTCACTTGCACCTCCTCAAAACATTGAAATAGGTTTCATTGGACTTGCCTTTTAAAGCAACCCTTTACTAACTGTAAAGCCTCTAAAGTGAGAGCTGCCACACCAACAGTTGCCTGCATTCAATTTTTATAATTTTTATAAATGTAATTTAAGGTTGAGTGCTGCCTGCCCCACCCAACGCTTCTAATTCAAGTAGAACTCAAGACAAAACTTTTTTTTAAAGTTTATAATAGAGTAAGGGAGGTTTATAATGCCTTGCTATCTGTGACCTATTGGGGAGATTCCCCTTCACTTCCTGTTCGATAACCAAAACAGAAAGGGAAATCCCAGGTGGTCAGCAAGGTCACCAAAACTGGTGTCCCCATTGGAAGATTACCCATCTAATCCTGTACTTTTACTTTTAGTGATAATGTGCACCAGAATAAACAGAGGGTGAGACAGACCTTCAATGTGTTCTAATACCTCTCCACCCTCCAATCCAAAGCTAAAAAAACAGTTTTGGCTTCAGTTGCACTTTAAGGATTAACGCCAAACTTTGATTTGAATAGCCAGGGATTTTGGGAGGTGGCATAAAAACAACAAATTCGGAAAATACATAGGTTCACTAAATTTTAACATGATAACCCTAGGTCTTTGGTATTATTATAGTTTAACGGTGATCATTGTGTTTTGGGCAACTTTCAAAGGCATCCTAAACTTAAAATCCCTCTTGACATAGGTGCTACAGGCTTTACAGATGGTATATATAATTTGAAGTTTGTAATGTCTCAGCAGTGGAGTTGAGCTTCCTCCTGTGCATTATTGTTCGGACTTGAGGAGGTATTTGGGAAACACTGCAGAATGAGCAAGAGCAGTTTTACATTTTACAGGATAAAAATAATAATAGTAAAATATCACATATTATGCTAATATCACAAGATAACGTATTTTAGTGCTTTGTTTAACCCCTTCGTGACGGGAGACGTACACTGTACGTCCCACCACAAAGGGACCAAATGACTCGTCACGTACACTGTACGTGACGAGTTATTTGCTGCACTAGAAGGCTGGTAACCGCTGAGAATCAGCGGTTATCATTCATTAATGGATGCCTTAAGTTTAGAGGCATCCATTAATGAAAGGGTTAACCTTTTTCAGACACCCGATACCTGAAGATCGGGTGTCTGAGAGTCACAGCAGAGCCGGCAAACATGCCGGCTTTTGCTGCCATTCTGACAGCTCGTATAGATCGAGAGATATCTCTCTCAAGCTATACTGGCTTTTTTTTTTCTTTTCTTTCAGGAATAGATACATAATGCATCTATTCCTGAAAGAAGAATGTTTCAGTTTGCTGATCGTTGTTGTAACAATCAGAAAACTAGTGACAGCTGAATCCTGAACTGCTGCAGGATCAGTGTCACTAACTTATTATCGACTGTTCTGAAGTTTGAAGCAGCCTGATAATAACCAAAAATGTATTAATTTATCAAGCAGTAATAGTGAGATTAATTCACAATGACTGCTTGATATAATTAAATAAATAAAATAACATTTTTAAGTTTAAAAAAAAGTGAAAAGTGTAAAAAAAAAAACTAAGTGTAAAAAAATTAAGAATAAGGGACAAATAAATGAATGTATTTATTGATTTTTTTTTTTAGCTGTGCTGGTTTTGTAAAAAAAATACTACAAATCAAAACTGGGAAAAATGTGTTTTTTTAAAGTTTTTTCCTCTTTTTTAAAATATTTTATTTGTCCTAAGTGAGGCGTTAGAAACACATATGTGATATAAATATATAGCCCTATCTGTCCTCTAAAGTGGGTGCACTTTGTAAGAAAGCATATTACTGATGTGGAAGAATCACACAGCAAAAATGTCAAAAGTGTGTCAGTCATTTACGAACAGAAACGAAAAACAAGCTCAGTCATGAAGGGGTTAAAGCTGTAATGGAAACTAATCTATTTTATAAATGACTCTGGCAGGCACATTAGATTTTGGGCTCCAGTGTGGCAAGGACTGATGATAGTATTTCTTGTACTCTATAAAGTGATATGCAATATGTTCTCACTGTATGAAATGCTTATGAGACTGATTGTTTCAGGTGGACTTTTTATTTAACCATGTGTTTTATCATTTAAAAATGTGATAATCCCTCTGTTGTGTTTTCCAGCTGGCTGTTGTGCTACCAAGCTAATGCATGTGACAATGTGTGCGTGTTAGAAGAGGGGCATTTCCCTGACTTGGCTTCTTGTGGATGTCCTGCACCTGAGATCAAATACATCCAGCCAATAGATTATGTAAGACATCTGTGTTCACATCACATATTACATTTTGCACAATGAACAACAAATGAAGACATTATCCTGTAAAATATTAGCCAGTCAGTCAATTTCCAAGTCTCTGCTGCTTATTTGATGGGATTTGAATGCTGTATCACACATGTGCGAAAAAACTTTCCATTAGTCCTATGGGCTAAAAATGAATGCTTCAGTGATGGTATAGCCATCTATGTTTCTTGGTGGTTCTCACTGGGGGTGGGCTAATTGAAGTGCTATCAGACTTAATTGGTCCATAATGCTGTCCCACCAACCACTTGATTACAGTAGCAGTGGATTATGTACAAGATTGAAAATTGAGGATGGTTCAACAGTTTTATCTTCAGTCATTATAGACATTGTTATATAGGCTTGATATGTCAATTGAATCTACTACAATGTGATCTTCCTTCTGTTGATGCAAATGTTTTTGGGCATTAAAACCCAACCCCAGCAAAATTTATACTGTCTGTGTCCTTATTGATGAGATTTCCCTACACTGTCTGTCAAGGACCAACAGAATAGTGGGTCCTCTGCTATCTGCATGTATGGAGAGGGTGTGAGCACAGGCCACCAGATCTTCAACAGAGCACCCGGATAGGAGCGATGGACTTTCCTTTTTATCAGTTTGCATCCTTCCGATACACCTGGTCAGATGGCATCTGAGCAGGAATAGAACCAGAACATGGTACAAAGTCAAAAGGCAATCCTGGAAATGGGGACAGGCCAAATGGGTAACAAACAAGAGTAATCAAAATATAAGAAGTCGGTAAATAAAGGAACAGGAATGTAGAAGTGCAGGAACTAACAATGACTGGAACCTTGGGCGAGGAAATGAACCTACTGCTCAGGCAATGGGTGTTGGTCTATGCACAGCTAAATAGCAAGTTGACAGGCTGGGCAGGAACCGGCCATGTAGGTACTATATCAACCAGGAAGTGAAATACCACATGCAAGGTAGGAAAAAAAACACATGATGGTAGAACCACAAGCAGCAGATCAGCTGTGTTGCAGATCTTTGATACTTTCTATCTATCTAATGGGTATAAACAGAGCAGTAAGTGAGGAAGAATCTCCCCATTGAGGACATAGCTGCTTTAGAGGGCTTTGGTGATCATTAGAGGCTGTGTCTCTTCCAGTGTGCCACACAACAAAGATCTTTCTGGAACAGGGGAAACAAGTTTAAAAATTGAAGGA